GAAAATGAGAGACTTGGGCTGGGCAGTCTCAGGGCAGAGCCCCGGGAGCAGGACTCGAACTCTGCTCCGCCCCAGAGAGGCCCTGGGAGACGCAGGTCCCCAGAGAGCCGCCGGGCCAGTGACCCACACAGCCTATGAATCGGCCTCCCTGGAGCCCAATGGTAACACGAGGTCTGGGCTGATGGCCAGGCCCCTGGAGGACTGCTGGCCACGGGGCTCTGGAGCACGGCCAGGAAGACCAAGTTTACAGAAGCAGACATGCCAGCACCCCAGAGGGGCTCTTTGCCCCCATCCCTGCTTCCCCAAGGCTAAGCTCAGACCTGGAGGGGCTCCCCGGTACCCCACCTGCTCCCCACCCCATCTCTCATACCCCACCCTCTTCAATCCTAGTCTCAGCCTACTGTGGGACCACCTGTGAGGATGCAACTCTGACAGATGCCCCTCGTCTGCACCGGCCTGCTCTGACCTGCCTCTCCTCCCTCTCCCGGGGAACCGTGCTCCTAGTGGTATGACCATCTGACTCTGTTGAAGGACTCCTGTCTCTCCCACTGCAGGCACCTCCTCCCACCACAGCTCCCGGGCTGCCCTTAGCTCCAGCAAACCTTCCATGGGCCCGGCTGCCACAGACTGCATGCGGCCCTGATCCCGGAGTGGGGGACAAACCCTTTCTGCGGCCCCTGACTGCTGGGGCCCGGCACACAGAGGTCCGGGAGCATCATCCCTGGTGCTGCTTGAAAATGTCTGAGGATGAGAGGAAGGTGGGCGGAAGCGGAAGCTCGGGGCAGCCCCCTCCTCGGCCTGTCCCTGCCGCTGGCCTCACTATTGGGGGAGCTCACAACACCACGGTCGGGGAGAGGGGTGGGGTCAAGCCCTCCCCACAGGTCCAGCCCAGGAGCCCAACTGGATTCATGCTGACTGCAAACAGCCCCAGGCCCCCAGGGCAGGCCCTGAGACTTCCCCAGCCCAGCCAGCTCCTGCCAATCACCACTCCACATCCCCCAGCAGAAAACAGCCTCTCCCGGAGAAACACGAGCACAGTCTGGGCTCTATGACCGGCAGGGGGCCCCCTGTAGACCCCTGGCATGGGGCTGGGTGACTCCAGTTCACGTCACTCTCCGAGCACAGACATCGCAAAGAGGGAACGGCAAGGCGGGTCGTGGGCGTGGGGAGGAGGACATAGCCACAGTGGCATGGTTCTGAGTTCTCACAACACAGATCCGTGGACCACAGCCTCAGGCAGGGCCCGTGGAAATGTGCTCGTGAGGTGTGCCAGAGGAAGCCGGGAGGGGGGATATAGGTAGGCGTCTCTGGGCCTGTTTCCCCTCTGGGCACTGACAGAGCCGGCTCTTCTGCCCCATGAACTTGCCTGGGGTGAGGTCCTTTACCCCGATGCCCAGCGTCAGTCCTGTCTCATTTACTGAGGTAGAGGCAGAAGAGGCAGACCGTGTAGGAGTCAGAGGAGGTCATCCCTGAACCCCGTGGTTACCCTCCTCCTCCAGGCAGCCCTCCTAGCTGAACTGTGGGTAGAGATGGAGCTAGCGCTGGACCCTAATACAAAGAGGGCAGGAAAGGCCTCCAGGGGCCTCCCGGGGCAGCAAGCAGGAGCCCCGCTCCCTGCAGCACCCTCCTGCCCAGAGACGCCACGGAGGTGGGGAGAAGGGCTCAGCAGCACGGAGGAGAGGGCAGGAGGGAGCGAGGCTGGGGAACATTGAGAGGGAAACGGAGAGGCCTGGGCTGCGTTCCGGCCCAGACCCATGAGTGCTGCTGTGTGGCTTTAGGAAGGGCCCCGGCCTCTCTGAGGCTCCGTTCTTCCACTACAGAAAGCGGCTGAACCCCATGACTTCCTTACTCTTCCCTTGGTATTGGGGGCAGGGGGCACCCGCAGGTGGCCTGCGGGCCTGTGCTCATGCTCCTGTCTCTGTATGGACTGGGAGGTGGGAGCTGGGGGTTCAGGGGAGTGCAGGACACGAGGGTGACAGCACCCACAATTCAATTCCGCTGGCTCCACTTTTCCCATTCTCCCCGTGTCCCTGAGGGGCCAGTCCGGAAACGCCTGTTCAAAGACGTCACTCACCCACTTTTCTCTGCAGCCCTCTCTCCCCTCACGCCTCCAGTTCTGCCAAGGCAAACTGGGCTACTGGCTTGCTCCTGCTGGCAAACTCCTATGCATCCCTCAAAGCCCTGCTCCAGAGACCCCTCCCCTCCTCCGGGCAGTCTTCCCTGGTTCTGAGTTCTCACAGCACAGATCCGTGACCACTGTGGGACCCACAAAGAGGTTCACAATGCCTGACTGAGAGGAATCAGGCTCCGCCTGGCTTCCAGAAGCTTCTGCAGTCAGCCTGGAGCTGAGAGCATCTGCAGCTCCCACCCACCCCCGGGTCTCACTGCACGGACATGCCTCCTCCTCCTCCACCTTGCAAAACAAACAGCCCTGAGGCCTCGTTTCAGCCCAACCTTCAACACAACTCTCAGCATCCGAGGACGGGCCCACTGGCCGTGGGGGCTCCCCGGTGTCTCTGCCGCCTCCATACGAAACCCCCCAGAGCCTCAAGATCAACGAGGGGATGGGGCTGCGGGGGCAGGGAGAGAGACCACCCGGAGGGAGGCAGCAGCCAAGGGTCAGGGGTGGCAGCATGTCACCCGTCCTGTCTCTGGGTCTCTGTCCCCTCCAACCTCACCTCCGCAGCGGGGAGGGCGCCAGGTGTGGAGAAATGCCACGTGGTGGCAGGCTGGCCTGCCCACAGCTCCATGGTGGCACCCATGGAACCGCGAGGGAGAGGCAGGTGGGACAGTTCTGAGCAGGTGGGGGTGGGGGAGGGCGGGGGGGAGGGTGACGGGAGGGGCGGGGGGAGGAGAGACTGTAGTCCTCCACCCTGGAGAAGGGCTGCTCTCCCTCGGGGTCCCGCTTGTGCTTCCACCACCAACGCACAGGGTAATGAGGTGTCTGCCAGCCTCAGTTTCCCCAGCTGTCAGCTGGAGGGTGGGGAGCCTCCACATGCCCACCTCAGGGAGGACGAGAGACCAGTCGTGGGCCAACTCCACAGCTGGTTTTCAGGATACGGCTGGATACGGCTCTGTTCCCTGGCCCGGGGAGTCCCGGCCACACCCTGGAGCCTCTGGACTCCCCCCTTCCTCTGCTGTGCCTGGAGATGGTTCTAGAACTTACAGCTGAGCAGCCTCTCTGGAAGGCGTGAAGGTCCCAGCCGCCGCTCTGAGATGAGCTCAACCAACTCTTTGTGTTTGTTTGGGGGGGGGAGCACACCTGACAGTGCTCAGGGGCTCTGCACTCAGGAATCACTCCTGGGGGTGCTCAGGGGACCGTGTGGGATGTCAGGATCGAACCCGGGTTGGCCGTGTGCAAGGCAAGCGCCCAAACCGATGTGATAACTCTCGGGCCGTTCAACGAACCATTTCCAAAGTGTTTCGTGAACACGTTTCCAGCGCAGCCTCCCAGCCCGCCCTGGCGGGAATCCCGCCCTCTCGGCCTCGCGACTGCCACTGGCCCCTGCTCCAAACTCAGCCCCCTTGGCCTTGAAGGTGAGTGTGTCCAAGGACGACCAGGCCTGGCACTCCATTCCCTCACCCAGGATCATCTTCTCCCTGCTCTCCAGAGGACAGAAGCCTCATCTCTTCGGATCTTGACTCAAGTATCACCTCCCAGCAACAACCTCTCCAGGAAGCCCTCCTGGACTTCTCTGCCAAGGCAGGCAGGCCTGGCTCGAGAATGCATATACCTGGGGTGCCTTTGCCTTGCATGTGCAAGAACCCTGAGTAGCGTCGCAGAAGGAAAAAAAAATTTTTTTTCTATTTGCTTCCCAATTTCCATGAATTTCCATCCATTCAAAGGATGAACAACAACAACAAAAAAAACAGGCTCACACCCCGAAGCTCATGGGCTCCCCGGGGAGGGAGGAAGCAGCTTCTGCTCCTGTCTCTGGAGGCTGGCAGAGCACTGGGCAGAGGGCCACATAGAAGTGTGTGGAATGAGGGGGAGGAGGGGCCACGGGGGTGGGGGGGGACATGGGCACCGACGCGAGAGATCAAGGAGCCCCGCTGCCTAGAGACTGAGCTTGGCGGTGAAAAATCACGTGTGCTCAAGGAGCCTCGAAACAGCGGCATGGCTCTTCCACACAGTGTCCGCCTTCTTCTTTTTTTTTTTTCTTTTTGGGTCACACCTGGCGATGCTCAGGGTGACTCCTAGCTCTGCACTCAAGAATTACTCCTGGCGGTGCTCAGGGGACCCTGTGGGATGCTGGGAATCGAACCCGGGTTGACCGCCTGCAAGGCAAACGCCCTCCCCGCTGTGCTTTCGCTCCGGCCCCAGCGTCCGCCTCTGGAGGGGGCACAGGCGGCAGTGTTCAGGGCTCACTCCTGGCTCTGCCCTCGAGTCCCCAGCAGTGGGGGCACTCAGGGGCCCACATGCCCGAGCCGGCTGTGTGCAAGGTGAGCCCCCTCTCCGGCCCCGTGTCTGTCTTCTGAGACGTCACCTACTGCCAGAGCCAGCGTGACATGCGTCGCTGAAAACGAGCTCCCCACCCCACTCCAACACAACACACACACATACACACACACACACACACGTGCAAACTGTGACCAGAAAGGAGAGAGGCGGCAAAAATGTGGGAACGACCTGATGCCTGAGCACCTGGGAGATGAGATGTGCGCATGCACTGAGTGTGTGTGTGTGTGTGTGTGTGTGTGTGTGTGTGTGTGTGTGTGTCTGCCTGTCTGTCTCTTTCTCTCTCTTTCTATCCTCCCCTCCTGGGCTGGGCCTGTCTCTCCTCCACCTCCTCCCACTCCCCGGGGGGCTTCGACCCCCTACCCCCACCCCCCACCCAGTGGGGGCGTGGGGGAGAGGCTGAGCCAGCGAGGAGAGCAGCCAGACAGTGAGCGGGTACCTAGCACCAAGAGGGTGGGCTGCGGTCCTGGTCTGAGAGGCTCCAAGGATGGGGGGGGAGGGCAGTAGGGTCCCAGGGGGGCGGAAGCGTAGAGATAGTTACCGTGACCCGGAATGGCGTGGCGGCTGACGGCTCCATGCTGGGGCTCTTCTCCGAGAGGCTGGCGGGCAGGCTGCGCCGGGAGCCCGGCCTTTCCTGGGGCGACTCTGTGAACAGACGGAGAGAGGCAGTGAGCGTGACGCGCGAAGTCCCCCGCCCCAGCCCAGGTGGGCCACCCTGTCCTTCCCGCCCTGCCCAGGACAACCGAGGGGGCCCCCAGGAAGTGGAGGGAAGCCCTGGGTCACTGCTGACTCTGCGCCGTTAAGCAGACACGTGGTCGGTGGCAAACGTTTGCAGCGGCGTAAGGCAGGAGAGCCAGAGGGGGGCAGCGGCCCGGGCAGACCCCCATGAGGGGCTGGGGCGAGCGTGAACGGCCCTCCACACTGCAGGGGCTTCTCTCTTGGGAGAAGGAAGGCAGTCCCCGACAAGCAAGGTGCGCCCAGAGGCAAGAACCAGGAGACGCGCCTCCTGGGACAGCACTGGGGTCCCAGCGTCACAGCTTCTGGGGGCTTGGAGCTTCTGGGCGGGAGGGTGGAGATTTCTAAGGGGAGGGCAGGGCGGGCCGCTCTGCGCTGTGAGTGGGACCCCACATCAGTGCCGGTGCAGGCCAGAGACTCAGTGGCGAACATTACGTAACGTGTGTTTCACCGCACTGGCGGAAAGCAGGTCAAGAGCCTGTACGCTGAGTTTCACGTCTTGGGCTGCAGTGAATTCCCCACTACCGGGGGAGGCGGGGTGGGGGGGGTTGGTAAACGCACAGCGCAGCCTCTCCCCACCGACAATCGGACCCCGCCTGCCACCAGCCAGTCTTTCCTTCCCAGCGGCTGGAGTGAGGGCCTGGCGGGGAAGGCACAGAGCTGGGGGGTGCGGCAGCCCGAGCTTCCAGGGATTCAGAAGAAGCTGGAAGTCCGCTGGGCTCTCTAAACATAAAACGCTCCTGTTTCCGCCGTGCTAAGGCTCACTCAGAGCCTCACACGCACCTCAGCACGCCCGCTCCAAGCCCCACTAGGAGGGCTGACTGAGACTCCCCAGCCTGCCCGGTCGTGCCTGGCCCACAGAGGCACCCGCCTGCCCCCGCTCCCTCGGGCGGGCCTGGCCCAGCCCAGGGACGAGCCCTGGGCCCGCCTCTGGTTCTCACAGCAGTGCCAGGTGCATGAGTGTGCGTGAGTATGAGTGTGCAGCCACACCCGACTGCACGAGCGTGCACGTGTGTGCATGAGTGACACACCTGCTGAGTGCATACATCTGCAGCGAGTGCAGCCCGCACCCACTGCAGGTGTGGGTATGGCAGTCTGTGTCTGGCTGCATGGGTGTGTCCACACGCTGTGTCTGACTGCGTATGTGTGAGTGCATGTGTGTGTTCACACCCTGTGTCTGACTACATGCATGTAAGTGCAATGTGTGCACACACTCTGCATCTGACTGCATGCATGTGAGTGCATGTGTGTCTACACCCTGCATCTGACTGCATGCATGTGTGTACCCACACCCTGCATTGGACTGTGAGCACTGGAGTGCATGTGTGTGCCCACACCTGCGTCTGACTCCATGCATGCATGCACACCCACACTGTCTGACTGCAGAGCTCCTGCCATCCATGCCACTGTCCCCCCTGACCCCAACACCCAGTCCCAGCCCAACACTCCTCATAGCCTCTGAAATCTCCGATCACCTCTGTCGAGGTGCCTGCTACATCCCAACGCAAGTGTCGGGCGGCCGGACACCCGGCCTCCACTCCTCTACATCCATGGGAAAGCCCGGCCCAGGGTCCCTACATCCGGAGGGGGTGCCACGCCAAGCTCTGTTCTGGCCCCAATTCCCCAAGCAGCCTCCTACCACCACCACCACACCACCACCACCACCACCACACACACACACACACACACACACACACACACACACACACACACAGAGGCAATGTTTTTCCACCTATCTTACATTAGCATCCCAGGAGACCGTGCAATGCCCCACCGTCCCTGAGACGCAGAGGCCACAGGCAGGATGGTGTTTTTACTGTGCCACGACAAGTCTCCTGGGCTTTAGAACAAGAGTGAGATTTGGGCTGGAGCGATAGCACAGTGGGTAGGGTGTTTGCCTTGCACGTGGCTGACCCGGGTTCGATTCCCATCATCCCATAGGGTCCCCCAAGCACCACCAGGAGTAATTCCTGAGTGCAGAGTCAGGAGTAACTTCTGAGCATCACTGGGTGTGAAAAAGCCCCCCCCCCAAAAAAAAAAGCGAGATCTTTCCCAACCCCTTCCCAAGAACCAGCGTTCTGCCCCTGGGGGGTGGAGGTGGGGGGCACTATTGCCCCCAGGGGAATGCAGATTCTGAGTCCTGCAGCCAGAACTGCCTCACACAGGGCAAAGGAGACTACTGAGAAGCAGACTCCTTCCTCCGTGCCCCAGGGAGCAGGTGCAGATGCTGAAAGCCCCTTGAACAGTCTCTTTGGGACCCGGTTTTCAGGCCGGGGCTGTGGCTCGCAGGGAAGAGAAAATGGGCCTTGCCAACCGGAAACCCCGGGTTGCTCCAAATACTAGGCAGGAAGTAGATCCCTGAGCACCGTCGGGTGTGGCCCCCCAAGCCAAGAATAACCACCACCAAACACAAATACCGAAAACAAAACCCATCCGGCGACACGGGGCCTGGCACACATTGAGCAACTTCAACTCTAACCGCTTGCTGTGTGGCTCCCAACAGGCCGCGTTCTGTCTCTGAGCTCAGGGTTGAGGATCAACCCAGGGAGCCGAGAGAGACTAAACTCCAGACCAGGCCAGCCCCAGCCGCCTCTGGCCTCTGACGGAGGAAACACGGGACGGGGTTGTTGTGACCTCAAAGTCTTCCCGTCCCAGACCTGCCGTGCACCAGAGGGGACCCCTCAAGAGAAGGGGGCTCCCAGGGTCCCCCAGGCAGGAACACTGGTACAGGAGTCACCGCTGCTCGGACCCACTGGTGACCTCTGTGTGATCTTCAGGGCTCCCCACCTGCGGCATGCAGACCCAGGTGCAGCCCACCCTCGCTCCCCTTTCCACGAGGCCTCGGGTCCCCTCATCCCGCAGGTCCAGCCACCTGCCTACGCTTGGACGCCACCACCAGGGAAATGGATTTTAACCTTCACGTGTTCGCAAAAAAATAAATAAAATAAAATCGGTTTCATTCAAATGCTGCCGGCTTGGTTGCCATGGATACCAACTAATCATGAAGGATGACTGTTACTTGTTGCCATGGAAACACGAAGGCCCGAGGAACATCCTGTAATTTCAGACAAGACACCAAATTTCAGTTGTCGGGTTGCACTGCCCAGAACTTAATGCACAAAAACAGGTCGAGGCAGCCCCTCTGGGACAGGGGTCAGGAGAAATGAAGTCAGCCCCTCTGGAGAAGAGGCTTATGACAGAACCACCGGGTGTGTGTGTGTGCGTGTGTGTGCGTGTGTGTGTGTGCGCGCGCGCGCGCACGCACACGCATATACGCATATGTGCACCCACATGTGTATGTATCTTTTTATGACATCTTATTATCTCATTCCTACTTTGGACAAACTTGCAGGCTATCGAATGTAGCCTGCCCACAGGGCAGAGTCTGGCAAACTCCCCGTGGCCTACCAAATATGCCAAATACCAGTAACAATGATGGGTCTCATTCTCCTAAAGAGCCTTGAATATAATCTCAGGGTTAGGATGAAAGAGACGTTACTGGGGCCTGCTCGAGGCAATCGACAAATGATGAATGTGTATGTACAAGTGTGTACACACGCAGTTGTGCATCACTGGACCTCCCCAGTGATCAGGGAATGTAAATGAAATCAACTAGCTACCATCTCACAGCCAATAGCACAGCGGGTAGGGCATTTGCCCTGCACGCGGCCGAGCCTGGTTCGATTCTTCCGTCCCTCTCGGAAAGCCCAGCAAGCTACTGAGAGTATCGCGCCCGCACGGCAAAGCCTGGCAAGCCACCTGTGGCGTATTTGATATGCCAAAAACAGCAACAAGTCTCACGATGGAGACGTTACTGGTGCCCACTCGAGCAAATCGATGAACAACGGGAGGCTGGTACAGATAGTACCATCTCACACATTTTGGGTGGGCAAAAAGTGCAAAGAGCTTGGGCTGAGGCGTGGATGCTTCTAGAACTGTCAGGAGTGGGGAAGGGCTTAGGGCTGGCCAGGTAGGACAGCGGGGAAGGTGCTTGTCTTGAACATGTCCCACCTGGGTTCCATCCCCAGCACCATGTAGGCTTCTCTGGGCCCCGCCAGGAGTGATCCCTGAGCACAGAGCCGGGAGTAAACCCTGAGCACTGCTAGGTACAGCCCTTCTCCACCACAGAGAAAAGGGTTTAGAGAACAATCAGACAAGATCCTATGGAAACTGCACGAGCACGCACACACACACATACACACAACCTCACACACCCTCGCACTCACAATCATCCACACATACACTCGCACACACAATCACACTAACACACACTCACACAATCATTCATATCAGACACACAACCACACTCACTCTCACTTATATATACACACACACTAATGCACACACAATCACACACATACACACTTACACATACACTCACACACTCACACCCACACGAGAGGGGCCCACTAATCCCTCCCTTGCCCTCAGAGTCGGGGCCACGGCACTGCTGGAATGTTCCTGCCCCATACTTCCCCACCTTGGGGTGACAGTCCCTCGTGACACTGGGGTGGACTCTTACGAGGGTCACCGCGGGGCTGAGGCGATGCTACAGCCTGGCAGAGGGGCCCGTGCAGGGGCTCTGAAGCACGGGGGACGCTTCTGAGAAGGACCTGTTTCAGGGGTCTCACTGTGTGCGGTCCCAGGGCACAGACAGGCAGGTCTAGGTACCCCCAGGCCACTGAGAGGGCGTGTGGGGCCCAGGTTGCTCACTGTCCCCCAGACTCCTCAGGTGGGGTACAGCCACGCCCCCAATGGAACACAGCACCGCTGGGCCTGAGCGCACAAAGCCCAGATGGCAGTGGACAGCGCCCCCCCAGGGGCAAACGGATGACTGTCTCCAGCCCAGACCTGACACCCCCAAGCAGGGGGCAGTGTGCCCACGGGCAGACCTGGTGCAGGCAGGCAGA